ATCACCCGAGGGTTTCTCTCGCAGTTGGCGCTTGTTTATGCCGACAAAGGACGTAAAGGACAGTGATGGATGTCTGCCTCCAACAAAACCACACTTCCCCTTTACGGAAGTTTCGGGTTTCTCGACCAAGGCTAAATTGTTCAAGGTAGAATACTTTGTTGTTGTCAAGGTATGTCAAATCAAACTCATTATGGGTTGTATTATTCATATATCTGTAGGTATCACTATCTGGTGCGAAGGATGTCACCACGAAGTCTAAAGTCCAAGTCACGGCTTTCGATATTGCTATGTGCCATGCCGAAATGCATGCAATAGAAGCAGCTGCGAAGGAAGCTACCATAATCAATCAACATAACCCATGGGTTCCAGCACCTACAATAATCCGCAAAGACGACCAGAATGCCTATAGCTACTTGGGGATATCGTCTGTTGGTGGAGTGCGAAAACTCCTGATAGAATGAGAGCACATCCGGATGCTGCTGCCTCCAAGTCACCAACGCCTCCGAATCTTGAATTCATCGATGCGCTCGAAGTGCATGAGCCTTATTTTGCTCCGCTATGCCGGCCAGCGGGATCGGGTGGTTTCCAACCCTGTCGTCCATTCACTGTCCGTACTTATCACTACTGTTGGTGTTTTGTTCAAGCGCTCAAATCTTCTCTTTTCCATACGATACCCTTGACATTGCGCATCTCTGCGTATATACCTTTTCATAAAGCCATGTTGTTATCGGCGCTGGAGAAAACGGCAGGTGAATGTGATTTTGTTTTGTTTCGTTTTTTTTTGCTTACTGTTTGGGTCGGGTGTGATTGTACATGCGGGCGGCATATATCATTCGGAGTTCCGGAATGTATCTTTGTTTTAGGTTTTTGTTTTGTGGGTCTCTCTGAGCAGGACGTGCCCATTTCAGAGAGTGGGTTGAATGTCCAATGAGCATATTTTTTGGATTACGAATGAGTGGTATTGGGACAGGATGGAGTAATGGATGGGTCATTTTAAAGGGTGTAAAGGAAGGGATATGAGGAAGTGGCCGAGATTACATTTTGATCGAACATCTGAGATGGCAATACTTTATTGGGGGGAGTGCAGGGCGTCATAAATAGATTCATAATTTCGAATATTGGAATGACACGGAACGCCCGCTGGTGAAATGCGGGGCGATGAGGTTGGTGGTCACTCAGACGCGTCACGACACTGGATGGCTGGCCCAGGCACCAGGCAACGAAGCTCCAGCCATAATCTTCTTAAAGCTCCATCTCAACTCCATCTGTTCCCTTCACAACCATCATCCACACATACACACAATCATGTCAGCCGAAGCCGAAAACGACCAAGAATCGGTCTTGCTTGTCTCCAACGACGGCTTCCAATTCCTCGTCAAGAAGTCTGCAGCCTGCAAATCGCCCACCATCCGGTCCATGTTGGATAAACGAAGTATGTTGAAGCTCTCCCCCAGTCGCGTTGCCCCTTCGACAACGACGCGACTGCCCAATGGCACTCATAGATACACGCTCAATGCGGAGTTCCGATAACTGACACATGGACGGCTAGGCAATTTTGCGGAGGCGCGCGAGAACAGAATTCACTTTGAGAACATGACGTACGTGTGGAATCCCGACCCGAGCCCGGCGGCGGCGGTCTATGCTGGTTGGAGCAGCTCGGAAGCTTAAATGCCGTTCCCGGATTCTGTGAAATTTGTGCTCGACAAACATTTGGGGGGAGATGTTGTTTGCAACTGACAAACCCCGAGAGAAGAGAGGCTGTTGTATATTGCATTTGAGTAGGGCTGACTGTGTATATCGCAGAGCACCGGTGCTCGAAAAGGTTTGCCAGTATTTCTATTATTTCGACAAGTACAAGGGCATGAAGGACGTTCCCGAGCCGGACTTTATATCCCCGGAACTGGCGCTGGAGCTGTTGTTTGTGGCGGACTTTTTGGATTGTTAATGATGGATGGTGATGGAGGACTTCGAGTTGGATGTTTGAATCTTGGGCGGAGGGGGCTCAAAATGGTATTTAGTAGATTGTTGAGAAGGATTCTCTGTACGATAGACACAATCACATGTTCGGCTTCCATCGGCACGGACGTCTGGAGGGGCTTTTTCGTGATGTTCGTTCTCAGTGGCCGCCGTGGACTCTTGAGATCACGGGAAAAGTCCAATGATGCCGTGGCCGTCCCGAGACTGGAGAGACCCCCACCTGCCGGATCTGCCCCTCTCTCCCTTCTTCTTCTTTTCTTCTCTCCGCTCCTCCTCCTCTCCTCCTCCTCTCCTCCTCCTCTCCTCCTCGCTTCCGGCCTCAATCTCCTCTCCTCCTCTCTTCGTCCGCCGTCATGTCTGCTCTCCGCAACACCGTCCGCGCCCTCCCCCGGGGTCTTCGCCTGGCCCCCGCCCCTCGCCGCCTCCCCGCCGTCTCAGTGCGCTCCTTCTCCGACCATGCTGAGCTCACTCCCACCCCCGTCTTCCATCTCACTGAGACTGAGGAGCTCTTGAAGGAGTCCGTCTCGCGTTTTGCCAACGAGACCATTCTCCCGCGGGTGCGCGAGATGGATGAGAACGAGGCCATGGACAAGGATCTCATCCCGCAGCTCTTCGACCAGGGTCTCATGGGCGTGGAGATTGAGGAGAAGTATGGAGGTTCTGCCATGAACTTTGGTGCCTGCATTGTCGCCATTGAGGAGTTGGCCCGCGTCGACCCCTCCGTCTCGGTCCTCGTCGATGTCCACAACACCTTGGTCAACACGGTGTTCAAGACCTATGCGAGCAACGCCCTCAAGGAGAAGTACCTGCCCCGGTTAGCTACCGAGTCGATTGGCAGCTTCTGCTTGTCGGAGCCCGCGTCTGGCAGTGATGCGTTTGCGTTGCAGACTAAGGCGAGGAAGACTGATGGTGGCAATGGCTACATTATCTCTGGCCAGAAGATGTGGATCACCGTATGTCTCAAGATTCTCCACAGAGAGAAATAACTAAACTAACACTTCACAGAACGCTGCCGAGGCCGATATCTTCATTGTCTTTGCCAACCTCTACCCCGAGCGCGGCTACAAGGGCATCTCTGCCTTCGTCGTCGAGAAGGGCATGCCCGGCTTCAACATTGCCAAGAAGGAGAAGAAGCTCGGTATCCGTGCTTCCTCCACCTGTGTTCTCACCTTTGACGACGTTGAGATTCCGGCGGAGAACCTCATTGGCCAGGAGGGCCAGGGATACAAATATGCCATTTCGATCCTCAACGAAGGTCGTATTGGTATCGCTGCTCAGATGACTGGCCTTGCTCTCGGCGCCTGGGAGAACGCCGCCAGCTACGTCTGGAACGACCGCAAGCAGTTCGGAAAGCTCATTGGCGAGTTCCAGGGAATGCAGTTCCAGATTGCGCAGGCCCGTATGGAGATTGAGGCTGCCCGCGCCTTGTTGTACAATGCTGTGAGGACCAAGGAGATGGGCAAGGGCTTCGTCATGCAGGCTGCTATGGCCAAGTTGTATGCCTCCCAGGTTGCTGGCAAGGTTTCTAGCCAGGCTGTTGAGTGGGGTGGAGGAATGCACTTTGTCCGTGAGGGTCTCGCGGAGAAGTATTTCCGTGACTCCAAGATTGGCGCCATCTACGAGGGCGTAAGTTCCTTCCTCCCGGTGTAGGCTGCGGGGTATACATTACTGACGCATGGGGAATAGACGAGCAACATTCAGCTGCAGACCATCGCCAAGCTCCTCCAGAAGGAGTACACCAAATAAGCGGCTGTGTCGAGTGAAATAAAGAGAGAGAGATTGTAGGTAGAGTATGGAAAGGGGTGAAAATAGGGCGTTTGGGTTGGCTTTGTGTCCTGTCCTGTGTTATGTAGTTTTGGGCGCTGTGTTTTGAGCTCCAGCCTCGTCCATCTTATTGTTGATGTTGATGAAATATCCGCGGTTGTGGAATGTTGGAAACCAGCTTTGCCATGTTTATTGTCAATGTCCATGATATGATGTGGGTGGGAATCTTGTGATTCTCCTCCTCCCTCCACCAATCCACGCTCCGGACTTGTAAGATACAGCCCGTCCGGGGACCCTGTCGTCGTCCCCGTTTCCGTCTCCGTCCCACATCTTCCCCACCCCGTCCCCGAGTTCCCGTTCCCGTCCCGGCCCCATCTGTCTCCCCCGGCCTAGCCATTCCACGGCACATTCCGGCGACTTCCCCATACATAGTCTGCTCCATACCGGTACATACTCTATTTCCTCCCGAGTTCCTTGCTTTTACCAATCTCACCCCACCAAACCCCGCCGACTTCCCCATATTGTACTCCATATACTCCACCCGCGTCTCCAGAACCCCGCAAAACCGCTCCGGTCCGTGTGTCAACCTAAAGTTAATTTTCTTTTTTCCATTGTGGTCGACATCATTCACCACTTCCAGGGAAAGGTGAGAGATAAAAAACGAAGGCAGTGCCGTGACTCCCGTCGTGGCGCGAGGGGGAGGTTGTGGGGAAAGCTTTCTTGCTCCGTTCACCCGGGCTGTGCTGGTTGTTACCAGAGGGTTCGGGGACCGAGGGGTGACCGAGAAGGGAAACTGGGGATGAGGACTTCTGTCGGTCGGTGGAGATATATGGGGAGAAATGGCGGAGGACGAACACCGAGAGGGGAGAGAGCGATGAGGGCGGAGATGGATCAGAATCATGTAATATCATACTAGACTGGAATGAGATGGGCGGGAATGGGCATCATACTTGGATCCACAGCGCGGCAATGGTGTCACTCGGGATTGAGCTGCGAATTGCAACCATGAGTACCGAATCGTCTCGACTGGAGTGGGAATGGCCTGTGGGGGCCCACTGGAGTGTAATGTATATCATTGCTGGAAACTAACTAACCATAATATCAATCTTGTTGATTGTTTATGATGACAACGAATCGAACCCACTGATTCAGTCCCAGATCCCAGTGCCTTCACCTCATCGATCTAAACCAAACTCCAATTCCCCCGCCTAATCATAAAAAATAAAAAAACTGCAATAAAAAAAAACATCAAAAAATGTCGTCAAGAACAGGATTCGAACCTGCGCGGGCGAACCCATTCGCTAATCGTAGCACCGAAAGTTGGCCCGTTGCGGGACGAACTGAGGGGGATTCGAGGCGAACGCCTTAACCACTCGGCCATCTTGACATGCTGACACATGTTCCCGTTTAGGACGTTATGATAGTATAGATTGATGTGTAAATTTCAGGTAGTATGATGGAAATTGAATGACGATGGGATGGGAGTACAAGGAGGAGGAAGGGAGGGGAAGTGACGCAGCTGGAGGTTAAGGTTAGCAACCGATTGAGCAACTGACCGAGCGAGAGGGGAAAGGAAGATGGCTACATACTGGTCTGTGCTTTTTCCATCTCACTGATCTCAACGCCGGGAGAGAAATTCGCTGCGTAATACGATAGGATGGGATAGAATTACCGTCATCGGCCTCCGCCACCTCCACCACCTCCACTGCCGTTTCTTAAAACTACCAAAACCAGGTTGCCGTGAGACAGCCTGAGTGTATTCCGGGAGAAGATCGAACACGTTCCCCCACGTTACCTACACCACGCCTCAACACGCCTCCGGTTCGGTATGCGTGGGAAACCTATCAAAACCCAGAATACGGTGCCGGTACTGGGCCAATCCCTCCAGATCCCACAGTACAAGATCAAAACCTCTTTCTGGAGCCTCCAATTCGGTATGTGTTGGAAACCTACCAGAACCCAGTTTCCAGGGTGCCCTCTGTCGCAGCGACAGAGTGCCGTATCTCGACAGCACGATGGTACGTCTTCTGGTATGATAGTTTATGTTCTCGTTCTATAGACTAGAGTCTGGAAATATCTCTATACAACACCCTGTTAAACCGGTAAGTGGTAAAGTCTAAAGGTACATCAACGAATCACAGCCTTTGGTTGATGGGATTAGTTATGCGGGCTGTAAAATAGTTGCACGATAATTGTTAGCTCGATAGTGAACGTTGTTATTGACCATGACGATGCTTGCTGTTCTTTCTTTTTAGCTCTCAGTTCTTTGTGTTCTGTTCTTTGTTGACCCAACCCGTCCCAGCCGGCTCAAAGCACCAACGCCGGATGTGTGTAGTTATGAGCGGGCAAATCCATACCCAGGGAATCCTTCAAGCAACTCAAGGCAACTCCAAGCAGCGCTGGCTTAAACAACACAAAGCAAGCAACACAACTCCAAGCAAAGCAAGCACACCCAAGACATCCCAGGGCACATGGGCATCCACCCAAGAGCGCAATGAATCACTCAGACGGGCACATTTGTCTTTCTGGTGGTGGTCAAAGGCACATGCACCACCGCAACCAAACGCACCCAAACCCACGATCACCAAACCACCAACAGCCATACAGCCATACAACCAAACACCAAACACCAAACCACTTGAACATGCGCAGCCCACACGTAACGTACCACAACTCACCGCTCATCTTACTGTGTGTCATGTAATGTGAATCATGCTCTCCCATTCTCCACTCAAACTTTGCTGCCTTGTGTTATTTTCATCCGACCTTATTGAAAGCAGCAAATGCACTGAGCAAGGTCTCTTCCCAGAGTCTCACACAACAGCAGAAGAGCTGACGACACCTGCCTCTCGGGATCTCGAACCTGCATTTACACACGGCTGATGAACCGATCTTGCGCCTCCGAGATGAAAACTCGTCGAAGCAGCATGTAGTATGATGGTTTAGGTTCCGTAGCAGCATGTATCGTACCGACACTCCCGCTGTGGTGGTGCGGGGTGGAGTGATGGTGACGACGACGAAAAAATTATTCTACATGACAGTTTCCGCTGGGCGATGTGGAGTCGGCTTGGGGGTCTTGGAGACGCGATCGCGTGGACTACTAGTATGGTCATGCTTGGGGATGCAGAGGAGGAGGAGGAGGAGGAGGAGGAGGAGGAGGAGGAGAGGATGGGGCAGGCTGTGTTGTGTGTGGCTTTCAAGTTCCAGGTGACCATTTGGAGCGGGGCATTGGATGGATGCGAGACAACGTAGAAGAGGAGAAGGATTATGCGTTTCAGTATACGCTGACTGGCGCCTCTTCTCACAGTTCACTGATGATGAAGAAGATGATGGCGACAATGATGGAGACTGATTTGAGGCGTCCTTGGCTGTTGTTGGTACGTGTACACTCGCCTCTTTGGCGGATGTTTGGCAGAGCTGGATGACAAGATGACACTGGCTGTTGTGCATTACAATGCAGGCGGCTGCTCCAGCTAATTAAGTGAAGCTGCTCATGCGACAACACACCATCACGGAACTCGAGACGACCCATGGATGGGATGGACAAGCGTTTGAATACTACTACCTAGCTACAGCTCCCGGGATGAGGCTGCGCATAAGACAAAGCCCGAATTCCCCGATACCAGACTAGTTAATACTGAGAGAGGCCCTGGACCGATCTATCCGTCCTATAGTACAACACCAAGCACAACTCCACCACGTTATACATATCTAACGTCCTCCTCCTCCTCCTCCTCCTCCTCCTCCTCCTCCTCGCTATTCTCCTACGCCGCTCTCCTCATCATCCCCTCCCCGCTTGACATCCCTCGGCGTCCCCCCCGTTGCTGGAACGCTGCATCATTAACTTCCACGTCCGGACGACCCTCCGACACACCACAATTGAATTGACCGGGCTCATTCCCCCGTGGCTCACAAAACGATCCAGCCCCCAGGGCCAGAGAAACCCCCCCAAATCTGGCTCCCTTTTCCGCTGATCCTCCTTCCAACCCCATCCATCTTGCTCTCCACCACCACTGCCGTCTTGAATGGCCTTCACCCTACACCCAAATCCCTTCCCGTCGACACTGGGGGGTTTCGACGACACCAAGGCCATGCTTGCCGCAGGACCAGCTCACCTCCAGCTCAACATGCTCTCAAGCAGCACCGACATCAAGAACACCTCCGGTTTTCGGCCGTCCTCGCCTACCGACGATGAAGACGAGTTTGAACCCGACGAGCAGCAGCAGCACCACGTACGGCACACAACGCTCAACACTCTGCGCCGCTCAATCACTGAATACACATCCCCGAGCGTGGAACGGAGTCGCCAGCAGTTTCTCAAAGAGGCATTTCCCAACTCCTCAACATCGGCGCTTGGGTCCGTTACCGACGATGGTCCTCCGCCTCCAACCTACGACGAGTATCTCGCCGAGCTCACGCTCCCACGGTGGCGGGGCAAGATTCTCCCACGAGAAGAGGAGGGCCATGAACAGCTTCCGGCGTATGCGTGCACGATCCAGAAGGAAGGATTGTTCCCTGTGAAGGTGGAGATGGAGAACCCGTTTGATCCATGTCCGCACCGGGCATGGAAAACACGCTATCTCGTCATCCAGGGCACCAAGCTGGAGATCCGGGAGCCTAAGGCCGGCGCCTTGTTCGTCAAGGGTGATGGATGGAAGCCATTTGCGCTCTCGAAAAAAGTGCAGTATGGCCCCGGCCGCATATGTGAGAGCTTCACGCTCCAGCTCGCGGAGGTCGGAATGGCCACTGATTATCGGAAGTGAGTTCCAGATTTCCCTTTTTCGGTTTTTGTTTCCACCGGTTATCTAGTTGCTGGGAAGAAGTTTTTTTTTTTTTTTTTCTTTTCTAGCTTTTTTGCCGTTCGACGTGTTCATACTCCACCACGTACGACACTGCACCAACCTGGGAGTCTCGAACTGTCTCCCATCACTGCCTTTTTTTTTTTTTTTTTCGTTCCGTCCGTTCCGATTTGACTGACGCTCTTTTTTTTTCTCTCTAGACGAAACTTTGTGATCCGTCTCCGCGTCCAGACCCAACAACTCCTCATCGCCTGCCCAACCATCGAAGTGCAACTCCTCTGGCTCGAATCCCTCTCGACCGCAATTGGCCTCGCCTCCCCCCTCGAAGACCGCAGCTTTCCAAACTACCGCACCGTCCCCCGGCGCCGTCGCCGCCACCGCCGATCGCCCGCAACAGACCCTAGCGACGATCCGGAACCAGATCTGCCGTCAGCATCTTCTCACCGCCATGAACCTTCCACAGACGCAGACCTGGCAATGCAAACCTTCCTAACCCTCCTCGACGGGCACACCCCCACCTCTTCCACGACCTCCTCCTCCGCATCCCGCGCCGCACGCCGCCGTCTCCGCTCCCAGCCCGACCCCACCGCCATAGATCCGGAAACGGGAAAATGGGTCCCGCGGCACCGTTACACCTCCGAAGCACACATCATGTATGCGAAGCGGTGTGTGCCGACGTTGCTGGCGAGTGCGCCCCGGGGACAGTATGTGGTGTTTGAAGGACGGAAAATGAGGATTTGGTGGGAGAGGCAGTGGTTGATGGGGGAGGGCGGGCCGGTGGAGTGGGTGGGCGGACGGTGGAGGGGCGTGGGGAGGAAGGGGGAGGGGTGGGGGATGGGGACTGGCGGGGTGATGGGGACGCCTGAGGAGGTGAGGAGGTTGGAGAGGAATGTGGCGGCGCTGTTGTGAGTGGAGTGAGGGGAGGGGATAAAATGGTGGAAAGGAACGGGGCTCCGTGGAGTGCAGAGACTCGAGTTGGGGGTTCGCGGCCTTGTTACCGTGAGCACGGTCTCATTGTTGCCCACCACCCATATGAAGAATCGGGGATCCACAAACAACAGCATCATCAGCATCATCAGCATCGTCATCTGCAGCACATCTTTTTCTTGTCATTGTCATCGTCATCGTCATATCGCTCGGTGTTTGGAGCCTGTCCTTCTGTCTTTTTTCTGTTTCTTTGCGCTGTTGCATATACTCTTCGGTTCGGATGTTTCATTTTCCTGGGATCTCGGGTCTCGGATCTCATATGCTTTCTTGCTTTCTGATCGGCTTTATATCCGACTTATTGCTGCCTGATAATCTCGCTTTATATCCAGCATCTGGTTTTATACCCAGTTTGTTGCGTCCTGGCTATCTCACTGGCTTTTCCTGGCTTCATATCCAGCCTCTGGCTGGCTGTTTATTGCATCATATCTGAGCATACATCACCCTCTATAGTACTATACAGGAGTGGGTTGGGTTGTTTTCTTTATTCATCGATTATGATGTCAGCGGTGTACTGTACTGTACTGTACCATTAGACTTGTGTATTTGTATATTTCTACAGCTGTATACCAAACGCGTACCGTGGATACCGGTATATGATAGG